ATGCATGATGTAAAATAAAAACAATGTAAAATAAATTTTACATTATTACCCAAAAAAGCTCTAAAACAGGGACATTTTTATAATCAATTATAAGTGAGAGAAAGCCCGGGAGAGCAAATGCGTTTTCAACAGGTGTTTGGAGCTTGCCACAGTTCTGGCTCTTGAATCACACATTTGGGAGGGTGTCTTGGGTGGTGCCACTACTGAAAAGGCCAGTTGGTAACTCTCTGTTGTTCATGAAATGACCAGTAAGGTCATTGGCCAATATGACCAATGGATGATTGTTCCGGGCCAATTTTGTGTAGGGAAGATGTTCAGTTAAGGATCCTGTCAGCTGTGAATCCTGTCCTTGAGACTTTGAATGTCAACAACAACCTTCAACGTTGGCTTGGAAGCTCGAAGATAGCCCATGAAGTCCTTTGGATGCATTATAATCCGGATATAGCAGGTGCTCCAGGGAGAATCCTAGCTGCTGTGTTCCACTCTAGTTGTTGCTTCTGAACCAAGTCAAACTGGCCTTTGTGGGGTTCTGCTATGTGTAAACAACTGCCATCATTGTAACTAAACCATGTAAATGCTCATCCCATCAGGCGAACCATTTGCAGTCACTTCTATAACCCAGAACATCTCAGCAGCCGGTATCCAGACTTGTCAAGCGTATGATCTGGCAACTTGATTGCTACATTTTCCACAACTTAAAACAAAAGCAGTGAATTTGGTGCAGGGGGATGTTATACAGTAGTCTAGGAGGATGGCACCCATAGATCAAATATTAATATTACTAGAAATATTAGTCTTTGGAAGGAACTGTTTAAAAAATCCCCGAGAATGCCTTTAATTTAAACCATACTGGAACTTGGATAGATACTGGCTCAAAATTATTGATTTAGATTTAGTCATACTTCAAAATTGTTGTTGTTATGAGCCGTCAATAATCTGTGGCAAATCTTTGAATGAACAGTCTCCCAAATATTATATTCTTGGTAGCTCTGCTCAGCTCTTGTAAATTCAAGACTGTGGCTTCCTTTATGTAGTCAATCCATCTCATATTTAGTCTTCCTCTTCTTCTGCCTTTAAAATTCCCTAGCATTACTGTCCTCTCCAGTGAGCCTTGCCTTTGCATGATGTACCCAAAATATGACAACTTCAGTTTTGTCATTTTTCTTTCCAGAGAAAGTCATTTTTCTGTTGGTCCAGAGTATTATCAAAGCTCTCTTCTAGTACCTTGTTTTAGTTTCATCATTTTTCCTTCTCAGCTTTCTTCACTGTCCAGTGTTCACATTCATACATACTGATTGATAATACAACAGCCTAGATGAGATAGTATTGTAGGTTCACTGAATCATTCGCATAGTCCATTTATTTCTATAGGTCTACTCAAAGTAAGAATAAATGTTTTCCAATTGTTGTGTCTTTGTCAACGTGTAAAGTCCAGATTTGAGATCCAATTGCTATCAATATTATATCAAGGATCACTCTTACTTTACTCTATAGGAAGTTGAATATTTTGCTTTATAGGTACAGGGTAATAACATTGAATATATTACATTCATAATATATATATATTAGTTGTCAGCCTTTCTTATCAGAGAGTTTAATGATTCAAATTCATGTGTACTTGACTATGGACTTAGATCTAAATTACCGTATTTTTCGCTCTATAAGACACACTTTTTCCCCCTCAAAAGTAAGGGGAAATGTCTGTGCGTCTTATAGAGCGAATGTGTGTGTGCCCGACGCCTGGGATGCTGCTGGCCCGTCTGCACCATGTGGCACCACCTGGCCGGCACGCGCTCAGCACGCGCTGCTCCACCCCCCCCCCCGGCACAGGTGAGAGCTGTGCTGCTCGGGGGGAGCGGTGTGGAGGAGGAGGAGCCGCGGGCTTTAACCCGCCGGCCACACGGAGAGACGGACTGCTCACCCCCACCACCCGGGAAGACCTGCTGCCTCACCGTCCGGAAGACCACCACCACCATGCTGCCAGCCCGGCTGCACCACACCTGGCCGGCACGCACTTGGCGCGCCCTGCTCCGCCTCCCCTCCTCCGGCGCAGGTGAGAGTTGTTAATCACAGGTCGGTGTGTGTTTTCAAATGGCAACCCATCTTTTAATGAAGCCCATGGAGAAGTGATGGGGAATGTGCCTGTGATTATCAGGAAGCTTTCCATGGATCCCTCCTCCAAAAACTAGGTGCGTCTTATGGTCAGGTGCGTCTTATAGAGCGAAAAATACGGTAAGTAGACACAGTAATTTGTCCAAATTTGCTGTTTAAGTCAGCCTTACAAAATTAGCTGACTTAAACAGCCTGAACCCAGATGAAAAGTTGTTTCTACTTATGCAAGCTCTGTGGCTGAATCCTCATTAGCAATTACTGATCAAATTGACCAAATGCACCAAAAGAAATCTTCAAACAAAAAAGTATAAAGAAAGACCTACAACTGTGTAAGACATCCTGAAATAGAACTTCTGAATGACTGATACTATCATGTGGTTAGTTCATATGATGTCACCCAACATTTTATTGGGAACCAGTCAAGGCCACTTAGATAAAATAATAATAATAACTAAGGAGACATCCCTCCAGGAGGGAGAAACTATAAAGATGGTCTCAGAATATCCAAAATTGGATATATTGTTCAGAAAATGGACAAGACTGTATTTAATCTGTACAGTAGAGTATCTGGGTGACATGGAGATGTTAAAAGGACATGTGGAGTCAAAGATGTCTTTACTTATACAAAGTTTAATAAATAAACAGAGAAAAATCTAACTTCTGCAAATCCTCCCATGTGAAGTCAGCTTGAAGCCTGAACTCCAGGCAAAAGCTTTCTTTGTTTTTCTCTTTTCCATTGTATCACATTAAACTTTATTTGCTCAGTGAAGACAATGGCCTTATCTTGGAATGAGATCCTTATTCCTCAGCCTGGCGTGCACTCCTGCAGTACTTTCATATTGCAAAGACTCGACTCTTGTGAAATAATGAGCAAAGAAAAGAAGTCTTGACTTGACATAACGATAAATGAGGTGAAACTTTTTTTTTACCGTCAAGAAACTAAGGTTGGCGCATAGAAAAAAAGAAGGTTCTATTTTAATATGAAATATAAAGCATCCATTGTACAAAAAAGTATTTTTTTTTCATCAGAAGCAAAGGAAGAACAAAGATAAAGGCTGCAACAGAATGAATGAGTTGAGAAAACTAAGATAATGCCGTTGATAATCAGTTCAAGGCAAAGCGCTATCCACCAGGCCATCGGCCCAGCCCTAGGGGATTGCTTTTAAAAGTGTCCCTGTATGCATTTTCACTCTCCTCATTACCATACCTGCTCTTTGAAACTCACCAGTGGCTCCAACAAACTGCAGTGACACCTGCTGGAAAGAGCGGATGACCCGTCTTAATCAACTACTTCTGTGAAAAGTCTATGGAAAGAACTGCCATCTATCTTCACTTTGCTGTTCTGAAAGCTATTTGTCAATGGGTATCCTGAGAGCCACGACTATGAACAAAGATCTGTTTCTCTGCATTGGAAATGTGGCACCATGATCAAAGCTAAGGAGAATCTCCCACTTGTTCCCTTTGTTCATGAATATGTCCCTTCTCTTATTCGGCTACTAAGACTAGAATAATTACCTGTACTTTATTGAATGTGACTTTTATTCTATGAGAATGATTTCAGCAGAGCCCTGGATGGGATTGGGACCCTGAAGCAATCCATATAATTTTAACAAGGCATTTCTACTGGCATGAAGGCCACATGCAAAGTTGCAATAGCTTACAGTAGTATGCAAGGAGCCTGGGGTTTTGAGGGTGACAGTAAGTGGATGTTTCCCAGAAAATGTTCTGAACAATGCAGATAAATACAAGAATTATAACTAAGAGCTTAAATGCAATCATAAAGAAGTCCAATGAGTAGACGTTTGCAATTGACTATGCTGCTATACAGAATGCACACTGGGACATAACTGTGTTATTCATGCATGTACAAAGCAGGCTAGAACACACATTGCAATAAAGTTTTAGGATGACATTAATTTTAAAACAGAGCTTTCAAAATGCCACAGTCTTGTGTACACATAATTTTAAATAAACTTCATATTTTTCATAGATCCATTACTAAATGGACTTTTCCTGAAATGTAATAAGGATCTATATATGTTGTGCCTGTATGGACAATGTACAAATGAAGTTCAATCCTAAATTAAATTTGAAGTCACCACTCTGTTCTCCATGATATATATATCTACTTTTTAGTGAATATTCAAAACTTCTAATTGTACCACATTTGTGTGACCTCTAGTTATCAAGAATTCACCAGACAGGATAAATCTCACACATTTCAAATAAATCGGAAAAATAATGTGTCACAGAAATAATAAAAATCAGTTCGTGGTAAGTTTATTGTGTTGGGAAGAGTGAGAACTAGTCAGGAACCACACTGCTTGCTTTGTAATGCAGCTAGATTTTGCCTCAGTAACAAAAGAGTGGCAAAGGACCTCCAGAGTGGGAGATTCAAGAGCCGCAGGACTTCCAGGAAGTGGCCAACAATTATTGCAGCTGGATAGTCTTACCTTTGCTTAGCCAAGAATCCATTGGGTAATCTAGGCTGTGGTGTTACTTCTTGGGCTCATATATATCACAAGACTATTGTGAAGGTAAAATTAATTAACATGCATCAATGACGGAGTCTGATCTTTCAGAGACTGAAAGGAACATCATGAATCATTTGTGTTTTATTCATCAGTTGTATTCACTATTTATTACATTTTAATCCTATCCTTCCTTTGAGGAACTCAAATAGCGAATATGTTCCCCTACATTAACCTCACAGAAATCTTTTGAGGTAGGTTAAGTGAAAGATAGCGACTGCCCTTTTAATAGGTGTGTGTGTGTATAAAGAGAACTTCCAGTTTTTCCTAATTTCCACTAGATGGATAAGTATTTGCAGTATGATAGACTTTTAAAATATTTTATATTGCATGTCTATCTTTCCTATCCCTCTGCAGATCCAGCAGATGATTATTATTCTGAGTATAGCACTGAATATGCACAGCCAGAACAGATGGATACCAGATTTAGATTGTTTCCTACAGATTTTGACTGGCTTTATGAATACTTCACTGATGATGGTATTTTATGGGTCACACATGATGGGGAAAGGGCAATTGGGGGTGGAAGAGAAAGAGTGAGTGCTGGGGGACAGCAGAACTGTACAGTTGGCGTCATTTCAGAAAAATCATCATATTCTTCTCTCAAAGAGTCTGATCCTCACTGCATTTGCAGAACAAATTCTGCTGATCCAGTTCATTTGGGATTGCTGCTCAGAATAACAAGTACATATTTGTCTCTAGAGATTCAGGTTCATTGCTTTCAACCTAGCTTCTGTGTAAGGTCCCATTTCCCCATGGAACTGATATATTTAGGATCAGGGTATAAAATACACTTCTTTCTTTCAGCCTTGATACTATTCCTAAGAAAGCATTCCATTTATACTGAGAATGAGCTTACTTATGTGATCCCAAGAATGGCATGGAATGCTTCACCATGCCTTGACATTAGATATGTTATATTTGAAAGTGCAACAAACTCTTCTACTCTTCTAACATTTTAGACCCTTATCTTTTTTTTTAGTACTCAGTTTAGGAATATGGGTGTGCATGAGGCTACTAGCATAGACAGTGAGTTGCTTACTTATATATGGATTCAAAGTTAGCTGTCTACAGCTGACTATAGAGGTGGGTATTAATCCACATGATCCATGCTTGTTCCCAAAATTTAGGTCTTGAGTTTTTCTCTTGAAACAAGATACTTTCCCTTGTGTAACTGTGCCACATAAACACACATCACTGACTTTCGGGTAGCACATCAGCACTCATTTTCATAGCTGCTGTTAAAACTTTAGTTGCGCACATGCAGAAGGCTAATAATAAAATAAACTCCAATATTATTTCCTGTGCTAGTGAATCCATGCCAGGCCAAGCCGTGCCAGAATAATGGAGTATGTGAGAGGAACAGGAACAACTACACATGTCACTGCCCCAAACCATATGCAGGATCTAAGTGTGAGAGAGGTAAGTTATATTTTCACACCATTGTTACATTTACATAAAGCTGAACTGGTTATTTTGTTATCAAAAGAATGAGAAAACTACATTATTTTGCATTTTCATAGTCACATCATTATATAATTTTTAACAGACTATTATGGAAACTAATCAACATCCTCTGTCATAGAAGGTGCCTCTGTCTGATTTCTTAGGCTCTTCCCGTCCCCACTATCAGCACCAAGTTCACAGTATTCAGCAGGGTCCCCCGCCTCCTGGTAGCATTTTCCGGCAGCTTGTGTGGTGCTATCACATCACATCGTATGGTAAGGGAGTGATACACATTCCCATTAGTTTGAGCATCAGAAATAATTTGAGATGTGTTTGATTATATTTTTTTTTTCTTTTTGTGAAGGGCCAGACTAAATATCACTGTCAAGAAGAGGCTTCTTAAAATGGAGTCCTTGGGATGCTTTGGTTATAGTAGTAAAATGCTTATCAGAGCTCATGACATGCACCAAAGAGTGTTTACACATCACTGTTAGATATTCCTGAAATTATCATGGAAGCATTGCATAGGATGTGGAAATACCACATGATGAGCTCTGCACGCATCACGGCAGAAGTGTGAAGACTGCACCAAAGCTGTTCAAGCTGTTGCCATACATTAAATCTAATGAATAGACCAAGCCTAATTCCAAAGACTCCACAAGTGTGTGCCTGGAAGTGACCATCCAAGAAATGCACACTTAGAATTGTCCATATGGAACCTCCATTGAGCAAGAAAACAAATGAACACATTCAACTGTACTAATTTGCTAACTATCCATGATTACGATGAACTAAATTTGTACTGGGTAGAACAAGGAAGCAATGAAATGGAGGCATGATGAGGAGATAAGCTTATCTTTCTTGTTCTTTTTTGCATGTTCTGTATATCATAGTGGAAAACACATGTCAAAGAGTCAACTGCCACAGAGGAGATTGCCTTATAAGCTTGGTAGCTCCTTATTATCAATGTAGATGTAGATATCCCTACAAAACACCATCCTGTGACAAAGGTGAGTACTATCTTTGACAGAAATTGCTGGTTTCAGACACTGGCCACCACTTCTAATGCGTTCTGTTACAGCTTTCCTCTCTATATGTCTGGTCTGTTTTGTTAGAATGAAAGTTTTGTTCTCCAATTTTTGCGAGAAACTGCCTAACTTCTGTTAAAATATCCTTGAAATTCAGAGAGAAATACCACTCCTTTTTTCCAAAGTGTTAAGGATGACTTATTTTAGTCTGATTGACCCTGCAGGCAGAAAGACAATGGCTTATTCAAGGCCCCCCTGGTGAGCTTCAGGGCCGGTAAGGAATTTGATTACAGGCTTCCCACATCCACCCTCCTTGCATCTTCTGTCATAAAAGTGTTTCTCACCATCCAAGAGACGAATCTCACTTAAATGCCTTATACCATTGTATTTTCCAAACACTGACAGCGCACTCAGCTTGTCGACCAAACCCTTGCAAAAATGGAGGTACGTGTCAGAAGCATCGAAGAAGATCCAAGTTCAGCTGCAAGTGCCCTGAGCCATTCAGGGGGAAGTTTTGTGAAATAGGTGAGGACATGATTTTGTGTTTCTAAGTGATGGGGAAAATGAGATGTGAGTCGTAGGGGCTCCCACCCTGATCTTTCTACTCCTCTGTGAGCAGTTTACCAAGAATGGGAATCTGTGAGTATCCCTGGAAGTGCTGCAGAATTTCACACATGAAAGTGGTTTTGGCTTCAACCTTGACACTTCCTGGTACGTAGGAAGTAGATTCAGGACCCCAAGACATATTATCCTGGGAAAGTTAAAGGCCATAAGAAGAAATTGGATGTGAAAGGAGGAGCAATTTTGTGGTTTGTAGACTGGGGAAGCGCAGACATGTGCAATTCTTTGTGAGAGACTATAAAAGAAGCTTCTTCTCTATCCATATGTGTATGAATATAACATGACAGTTCTGTTGTAGAACCCAAAGACTGTTTTGAAGGAAATGGTCATTCATACAGAGGAAATGTTAGCTGGACACTGCTCCAGAAGACCTGCCTTCACTGGAATTCTCACCTTCTCTTGGAGAATAGTTATAATGCATTTATGGAAGATGCTGACTATTACGACCTCGGTGACCATAACTTCTGCAGGTAACCCACTGTTCATGAATAGTTAACTGAAGCACTAACCCTCACTCCCTGTTGGCACTGGGCAGGCATTTTCAGAGAAATGTCTGCTTAAGACTTACTTCTTTGTGTAGGCGTTCCCTGTGGGTTGACCAGCCAGAAAAGGATTTTCCTAATGCACATTTATTATTGAAAATCCTGTTTTTATCATTCTTTTTAACCAATTTGATAGAGAGAAAAACAGTATTACAGAATTTGACCAACAATCCAGTGAGATATTGTTGTTGCCATGTACTGTCAAGTCATCTCTGCCTTGTGAAAGAATGCCCTCCACATGTCCTCTCGTTGACAGCCCGGCTCTCGTAAACTCAAGGCTATGGCTATCTTTATGGAAGCAGTCCGTCTCATAGATGATCTTACTTTTCTTCTTGTGCCTTCAACTTCTCCTAGCTTCATTGTCTTCTTCAGTGAGTCTCATGATGTACTTGAAGTACATCAACTTCATTCTTTTGCTTCCAGGATGTTCTGGCTTGTTTTGATCTAGGAGTTACTTGTTTGTCTTTCTGTCAGCACAGGGTATTTGCAAAGCTCTCCTCCAGCACCATGTTTCAAATACATCAATTTTCTTCCTATCAGTTTTCTTCACTGTCCAGCTCTCACACCCATACATTGTGGTTGGTAATAGAATAGTGTGGATGACCTTGACCTTCATCTGCCATGAAATGCCCTTACACTAGATGCTTATTTCTAGTCCCTTCATTGCTGCCCTTCCAAGTTTCAGTCTTCATCCAGTTTCTTGGCTGCAGTTTCCATTTAAATTGAAGGTTGTTTTCAATAGCATGGTATCATCTTCATAGTTTAAATTAGTGATGTAACCTCAAACAATTATCATTCCCTTTTGTTCCGATCCTAATCCAGCTTTTATTATGCTATGTTCTACATACAGATTGAACATTGAGGGAGGTAAAATATACACATTTCTGATGCCTTTCCCTATATAAAATCACTCTGTTTCTCCATATTTGGTCTAAATAGTGACTTCTTGTCAACAATACAGGTTATGCATAAGGACAATCAAGATTTCTTTCAGAATCATCCATACCTTCATGTGGTCCACACAGTCAAAGGCTTTGTTGTATTCTATTAAGTCTTATCGGAAATCATTTGGTGTGCTCCAGTTGTAACATATATTTGCAATATGCTCTCAAGTGTTTCACATTCTAGCTTTCATGTCAGACACATCTCAATGCATATAAGATAGCATTCTTTGTTACAACATCTTTGCTTTGCTTTAATGGGAAATTAATGAAATAGTCTTTTAGTTGTTGCACTGTAGCATCCCTTTCCTGGGCAATGCGATATTGAATACTTCCAGTTTTTGTGCCATTTTTGTTTTCCAAAAATGTTAGCAATTTGTTAGCAATTCCTTGTTAATATTTGGTCCAATTCAGTGTCTGCAGCTTGGTATCTTATCTCGTCAGGGTGCTTTATTCTTTCCAAGTGCTTTCAAACCAGCCTTCACTTCCATTTCAAATATTGCAGACCCTCCCTTGTAGGAAACCTTGATGCAAAGCAATCCTATTGGCCCTAAAAGCATCTTGAAGGCCAAAGGATTGTTTGGGTTCCTAGTTCAGAGGTCAGAACAGCTTGGATTCCTTTCCACTATGTCTCTACAGCCAGTGCAAAAACATGCATGTTGGCTACATCTCTAAGGTGGTAAGATTGACCTTGGAGAGGAGGTGGAGAGCACATTCCAGAATCAGAGGAGAGCAGGTTCACAAGCATACAAGATATACTTGTGGTGCTCCAGTCCCCTTGTCTTCCTATCCAAAGTGCCTGAGCGACATAGTTGAAATTGACCGCCTGGCTGTGGAAGACTGTGGAAGCAAAGATCACCTCTCTGCTTCTCCTGTTCTGCTTGGAACACTTGTATTCCTGTGAATTTGGAAACGTACAGGCATCTGCACACTGAAAAAGTTGTATAAGAAATTTAAATAATTTCTGGTCAAGATGGACAGTATTCTGTACCATTGTACCTCTGTTTTTTCTTCTGTGTCAGCAGAACAGACCATTGGCACAGTTGGAATTCTTGATCCATGTAATAAGCATGAAGAGAGTGCAAATATTGATTTTTAGAATAAAAATCCTCTTGCCTTAGTGGTCTTTTCCCACTGGCTTGGGATCAGTATAGGATAGAAGAGAATGAGGATAGGTCTGCCATCCCCTTATGTACTTATATTGCTTGAGGAAAGCCTTTTAATGTTATGTTCTGGGGTGAATCATGCTCAGTTCTGCTATAGTTTGGTTCTTCAGCTAGTAACTTTTCTTGAATGATTCTTTTTCTTTTTCTTGAATGATTATTATTCTGAATTTTGAAACCTGCCTCTTTCAGGAATCCAGATGGTGATGAAAAGCCTTGGTGTTTTGTCAGTGTGGATAACAAATTGAAATGGGACTTCTGTGATGTTTCCCCTTGCTTGACAACAGGTGGAATATATAATAATATAGAATGTATTAAAGTTGAAAAGTGTGACAGTATTTCAGATTGTCAGTGATTTTTGTGTCATTTTTCTACTTCTAGAATACAGCCCAGAAAATTATAGTGACTCTAGCTTGTGTTTGCTTGCTTGCTTTATTCTTGAAATTCTGTGCAAGGGTTTAGTAATATTGTAGGATCTGTTATTTGTAGGGTTAGGATCTGAGAAGTATGCAGGTCTTGGGATATTTATAGTCAGGAGACATCCAAGGAAATGAAATATGAAATAGTACAACAGAACACAAACCTTTTATAGACTGAAGGAATAATATTCTACATGAGAGGAACAGCTTTGATTTTGTAGAGTTTATTTGCTGCAGGGAGTTATTTCAGCTGAAATGTGTCATTAGGAAAAAGAAGAAGGAAGGAACTAGCTCCATCTAAGCCATAGTGACTTGTGTACCAGAATTTGGTCAAGAGTGCTATAATTTCATATTTAGATATTGCTGTTGTGGATTCAGGATTGATACTTTTCTAATTAATTAATGAACTAGATGTCTTTAAGAATTAAAAGAAAGAATTAAAGCCAATTTCTAGTTTATACGGAAGTACCCAAACACTGACCCCTAGTACTTTCAGTTAAATGACTGTCAACCATTGTCAATTTTTTTGCCAAACCAAGATTTTTGTGGCTATTCTATTGATGGATCTGCAACATTTCACAAAGGACAGCTTCCATGGCTCTTCAAGAACTCAGCTATGACTATCTGTATGCCTATTTCTTCCCCCAATAAATAACATCATAAATGAAGGAAGGAGAACAGAAGGAAGGATGTGTTGATGAGCTTTTAGCTTATATGGGATTAAATGAGGTAAAAGGCTTCATATAAAACAGAATGCCACTATCATATTTCCAGATCTGATTGCCTCTTTGGTATTGCAGCAGAACCCTCCACAATCATCTCAATCCAGAATCCAGTAGCAGATAGAAGACCCAGTACATGTGGAAACCTAGAGATAGCAAGACCATTCAAGAGAATCTATGGTGGTATGAAGAGCACTGCTGGCAAGCATCCATGGCAAGCTTCTATTCAGAGGAAGTTCTCAATGGGCCTTGTTTTGCCAAAGGGACACTACTGTGGAGGAATACTGATTGAGCCTTGTTGGGTTCTCACAGCGGCACACTGCATTACGTAAGCAAACCTGCTGTATTTAGCTGATCCACTCCCACATGTGGTACATTACAGGAAAGAAAGATAACTTAAATCACAGAGAGATTGTTTGGTTGACTGGAACAGGATTGGTCAGATGATTTGTTGACTTGACCATTTTGTAGCCAGTGTTGCCTTCATAGGATCATAGAATAGCAGAGTTGGAAGGAGCAAGGGGGCCATCAGGTCCAACCCCTTGCTCGGTGCAGGACTCCAAGTTGGAGATTTTCATTTTTCCATTATGTATGAACATATGAGTATATGTATTTTTATTGATGTAGACTATGAAATCATGTTTGCATTAGGTGGGTTCTTCCTCTTTAGTATACACTTAATGTGATAGTTTCCATATCAGAGTACTTCTACATGACTTCAGTCCTATTGGCTAGTCAATGTGAGGATTCAGCTTGTGCCAAAGCTTGCTGAAATAATCTTGGAAGCATAGAAATGTGTGGAATCTATAGCAATGATTTTAGAAGGAAAAATTCCTTACAGGTGCATTGTGTGTCCAAAGATATGTGAGAACTGATATCATCATTCTGTTCACTCTGTCATTTTGTACAGAACTGATTCCACAGCGTAGCACCCATATGTTGTGGAACAGGAAAACAATTATTCAAAGCATTCCTTTAAGCATGTCTAGACCTACTAATAGGAATTATGAGGTGGCTGGTTCAGGTAGCACATGCTGGCAACAGTAGTAAGACGGCAGAGGACAGAGCTGTGTGTACCAAGAATCCTGTTCTGAACCCTTTCAACTATCCTGCAGTAAACTCAACTGCAAGTCTAGCTGGCTTTTGTTCATGGAATTGGAGATGGTCCCACTGAGGTGATTCCGTTCAGGCATCAAACTGCCTACAAATGGCCCTGCTCTGAGCCTCCAATACTTTATTCTTTGGGTATCTCTATAATTGTGCACCTTAAATACTCTCTGCTGGGGGCATATGTAAATGAAGCTGAATAGGCTTGTTTGTCTTTCATGTGGGTACTCTATGGGACACATTTTCCATGACAGTGAATTCCAGTACAGGTGCAGATGGCATTTGAGGTTTTCCACAGTTCTGCTTTATGACTGATTATTCTTTGGGTTGTTGTTATTTTTTTTTCCTTTATAGGTCCGAAGCATACACCCTCAAAGTGTATCTTGGAAAACAAGATCTCAGAAGGAAAGAGCATCATGAACAGTCTTATGATGTAGAAAAGATAATTAAACATGGACACTACACAGAATGGGAGGACATCCCACACAATGACATTGGCAAGTTCTCAGTTCCATGGCATGTGTTCCTTACAAACATTCTTATTATTGCTAGTGGGGATCAAAGGAGGAAGCAATAGGCAATAGTTTGGGGCATGCTACTTCAGGGCAAAAATATTATTAGGCAGACAGTTCAGATAGATAACAAATGTATTTTCAGAAGCTGAATGAACTTCTTAAGACCATCTATTTCTTCCCATGGAAATCAATGGGTTGGATTAAGGTTTAAGCATAGGCAACTAGGCTGATGGAAAAGTGCTTCCCAACATTCTCCTTTCTACCACATTTCTTCCACTCTCCTGAAAATGCAGAGAGAGAGAGAGAGAGAGAGAGAGAGAGAGAGAGAGAGAGAGAGAGAGGGAGGGAGGGAGGGAGGAGAGGGAGGGATGTCAGAGAAAGATTGAGTTTAGGGAACCCTTGTGTATAGGTGAGCTGTGGTTTGTGTGGGGAAAGGGATTCCTGAAAGTTAGACAGAGACATCTTTCATGAATGGCCCATATTCATCAATGGAAATCAGATCCTAGATCTAATCTAATGAAACTTAATAGTAGTTCAGCTTGATTAATATTAGTAAATGGATCTTCTTTTTGCTTCATTTGGTTTACATGGAATTAACCGAGATTTATTCCCAAAATAAAGGCAACCCATTGTTCTTCCTGTACCCTTTCCCTTTTGAGGTGATTAGCATCACAAAGGGAAAGGCACATTTATCTCCACCAGTCATCTGCTTCCTGACATGGCTTCCTGCTTCTTATGTACAATCAGGAAGAAGGCTCACAATTGGCTCACATGTACATTACTGACATCACCCTGAGACAGTGATGAAGAAGTTAAACCAGTCTGTAAAAGTGGAGATCTCACAAGAAGTTGAATAGCAAAACTTAAACATTTTGACTTGTTTCATCAAATTGCTTGATGCAATTTGGAATGAATAGGTAATCATTAATACACCAAAATAGTGTCTTCTCTTTTGCCTACAGCTTTGCTGAAGTTAAAATCAATCAATGGCCACTGTGCAGTGGAAACAAAATATGTCAAGCCGGTGTGCTTGCCTGATTCAACATTTCCTGTGGATACGGAATGCTACATATCAGGTTGGGGAGAGACTGAAACAGGTATGCTGGTGATGGTTCATGCAGCCGGTATAGTTAATACACAGGTGGATCCTATATTAATCTATACAGACTTTGGGCCAGTCACTGACTCTCAGCCTAACCTACCTTACAGACTTTTATGAAGATAAGATTGTATGAAGGAAGAATGTGTAAGTCACCTTGAGTGCCATAAAGGGAAAAAGTCAGGATAGAAATATAATGTAGAAATCAATAGATAGATAGACATTTTACTGAGAGTCTGCTGCTGCTGCCAAAAGTGGTAGTTGCTAACTGAAATATAATTCCCTCAAGCAAGTTGCTTCTTGGTCCATATTTGCCAAGATTCTGCAAGTATTGAGAATATGAAGAAACTGAGTTCCAGCTGACATGTTATTTCTGATGTGATCAACTCACTAAAGAGATTTAATCTTGTTAATTTCACATAATGGCTATGTAGTTTGAAGGCACACTCATGTGTTTAGAACCCTTCTATATTTATGGAGTACTAAAAGGAATGACTATGCTAGAGTTAATCTTAGTTTTCAAATATAGTCCCTGACATGTTTGAAAAATTCAGATCTCAATGTAAATTTACTTTGCAGTACATTTACCACATCAATCATGATTGTGTGTGTTGATCCAAGACATTTTCAAATCATAAAGCAATGATTTTTTCAAAATCTGAAACATCAACCCTGTGAACCATAGGCAGCATCTGGGTGCCATAAGAAACTGCAGACTGCCTTCTCTGCACCTGTAGGCAAAACTACAAGCATGGAGGAGGAGATCCAACCATGGGTTTTCTCTCCCCAGCCATTACAGAAAAGGCTTGTGATCTCATAAGAAAAGTCAGAAAGGGGCAAGGAGGAAAGGCTAGGATATACAATATTCTATGGTATGTCCAATCTGTACTCCAATCCACTAAAAAGTAAGTTAGCTAGATTGGCCAGGAGACCCATCTAGCTGCTTTTTGCATTTTCAGTGGAGGACCAGAAGCAAAATCATCTCTGTTATCCTCTTGCCCTGTCTGTTTTTCCTGCTGGGTGAGGGATACACAGAGGGCTCCCATAGGGTTTCCCCCTAAATATTTTATGTCATGTTGAAGATAGATGTATGAAAGAAACATTTATGGAATGGTGGGAACCATTGTGAAACATTCCTGGAGTTTTTAGCACAACGTTTCATTTTTCTTTCCAGTATCAAAATCTGAGGAAACTAGCATGAGAGAGTGGGTAGTGATTCTGGAATCAGTCACAAGTCTTCCTTCCCCTCAAATTCCATGGTACTTTTTTAGAACTTTTAATAGCTCAGCCTTCTGCAATCCAGTGCCTTGCAGATGTGTTGTACTATCCAGGGAGTTGAGAACAGCTGCTATAACTATGCTCTCAGTTCCCAGATAAATGCAGTATGGGAGAGGGAGACAAGGTCCTTATTTATTTAATTTAAATATTTAAAATATGTTTATGATACACGTCCCTTTCAAGGTAGCTCCTTCATTATGAATAATTGGGCACCTTCGCATATGGCCATGTTGAACTGGGAACTGGAAGTTTTACTACAGCTTCATTGGCTGAGACCCCTTGGTTGAACCAGATTGCAGTTCACTGTTATGTATGCCTGTTATGTAAATTACCAAGCTGGTCTCACACAGTGCATGAAAAAACACTGTGACATCTACTTTAATGTTGCATCTGTATACACTATCATTTACAATGGGAGACATTTCAGAGTCATCGGCTGATCATAGGCTGCTGTGCAAGGGTAGTTCCTACCCATCGGAAAGTCATATAATTTCAGCACTTGTTTCTAGAATCATGTAGACATCCATTTCAGCTTTTAAACATTTAAATCAAACTCTGATGGCACTTGGCTGTTCTCCCAAATTCCTGGCTGTGGGTGAAGCTCCGATTTCACAGGTGAGAAGGGATTGCAAATGTCCCTTTGCCAAGCAAAGCCACCAACAACCACCACTCATTATCTGTGCAGAACAAGTCAATTAGTGGAAATCTATTACAAACAGTGAGGTCAGAACCTGCTCCAGACATTAAAAATAAAGGTTTGGGTTTTTTTTTTTAATGAACTTCAGCTGAAAATTCAGAATGTGCAAATTGTGTTTGGAGTGAAAGGAGAAACAATATCAGGTCAAACTTGCCTCCAAAGTGCTAGTCACCATTTCTGTCACATGCGGCTCCTCATCTTGACTTAATTCAGGGAATCAAAATGGAGTGAATGAGTCTATAAGCTTCCATTTACAGATTCTGAGCCATAACTAGGAAAGAAACCCAGCAACTGTGACAGTATTTTCCAGCCTATTGGTTTGGATAAGTTTTTGATAAGCAGCATCTGGATCTCTGGATGCATATTGAAACTGAACTGCCAAATCTATTCATGTTCAGCTAAACCTCTGTGACATCCTGTGAGTTTTTTGGAAGGAAGAAATTATTCTCATGCTTAAAAATAACATAATGAGAGCTTTCTGAAAAATGCATTTTCCCCACTTTTCACTTAATGAGTTGCTGTAAAATTGCAGGTGGACAATATGTCAATCATGTTCCCAAAAGTACCCTGATGTTTTATGAGCAATATAATCCAATATGAAGTGTATACATCTTTTGATGTAATTCATATTGAAAGTAACAAGCATCTGGTATGCAGATTCAGTAGATTATGTGCTGACAATATGAGTTAATAAAACATCATTTCTCTATGACCCAGGCACCATTACAAACTAGAACATTCACAGTCCACAATCTATGTATGCTGTCCGAAAGTGAGAGAATTATCTGCTTTGGTGCTATTAAGACTGCTTTAAAATATTTTATACGCACACACACACAGTTTGTTTCCTGCTTTCAAGATAGCTTAAATATCAAAATAGTTCTATGCCCATACCTTCTTAGTTAATTTCATAAGTGAACCATAATCTGAAATTCTGCTTCACACATGCAAGTACAACAATCCCATTATATCAAAGTAGCTTTTTAATGTCACAAGGAGCACGAGGAGCATGATCAACCAACAGAAGTTAATTTCTTGGAATTCAAATTCCCAATTCAACATTAATTAAAAAACCAAATCATAGAAATATGTAGCTTGAAAGGTTTCATTTCATGAAATGAAAGAGAGTTTCACTCATGAAATGATCCCTTCCACCCTTTAACTCATGAACAGTAGTTTCTTTTGAATCCAATACATTACCTTTATGGTATAGTCCTTTCATGTGGCAATAGGGTAGTTTGCTAATTCTTTGATCAAACCAAGCAGGCAACACCAGCATAGCATGTGAATATGTTGCCTGCATCCTGTCTATTTCTGTAAATGATATTGAGATAACATAACATGTTCAATGCATTTATTTGCAAAGGCAGATAAGTATATAGCTTTTTACAGTGCAGTTACTAATCACTACTGCATGTTGCAAAAATATTAAGTTATGTATAACATATAATCTCTTCAAAATTATAGGCTTCCTGTGTGTATATATATCTTCATAATTCCCAGCTGACTTTATTGTGCATTACTTTGTATCTCCTGCTTCCACTTCTCTTTTTAATCTGCTCCAGTTATATGATGTTGCCTGCTTGAGTCATTTATCTGCAACAGCAAGTGTGCTATTAAATATGGGTTGTGGAGAACATTTGCTAGATGAAGAGAAACAGACCAGTTACAACCAAAATTAAAATAAAATAAAATAAATAAAATAGAAAAATAGTTTGGTAATCTTTGGTGCAATGAATCAGAAATAGCCCCACAGTTGTCAGGATTTGGTTCAGTTCTGGTCTGACTCATTTTTGCCTTTGAAAGTCTAACACCCAAACTCTTCCATGATCAGTATCTTCCAGATGTAATAAAAATATTGTTATATTTCAAAGTAAACATGTTGTAGAAATGCTGCTTTGCAACACTAAATACAAATTTGAAAGCATTTTTCCCTGGATAGCATTTCCCTTCCCTGTTCTTTTCCTACCACTACTCTGTTATACTTCAGGCAAACCTTTAATAACATTCAGTAGATAGATTTAATATACAAAATGGACAACCTTATTTTGGTGCTGCCAAAATTCTATGATCTCATATAATGAAAAGAAAGATTTAGCACAAGCAGATAGGATGTAAGAGATTCTTCATTTTCCTGGCATTCATCCTGCAGGTGCATCATCTCATCAGTTGTTAGATGCCAGAGTAAAGCTGATTTCCCAGATGCAGTGCAACGCACCAAGTGCATATAATAACAGACTGGATGAAAGCATGCTTTGTGCAGGAAATCTTCAGAGAACAAGAGCTGATACTTGTCAGGTCTGTTGCTTTTTTGGTATTTGAACACTAATTTCTCTTTTAACAAAATGTAAATAGGCTATGCAGAGTAATGTCTGGCAGGGTACTACATATGTATCTGCTTCTTGTATCAGATATATTACAACAACCTCCTTCCTTTCAACATGATGCGAGAGGCATGTCCTTCAAACTAATAGGTGACAGGCAAGCCTGTGGGACTGTAAGCCATGAAAAACTGAAGTTTCACCATTGGACGAAGTTTTCCCCAGCACATCTTACCTATATGACCCATGCCTCTTTTCCAAAATCACCCCACGTTCTGCAACTGGTATAGGTCCTTTATGCTTAATGCCAGCTCCAGGGTTTTAGAACACTTGGGGAAGAGATCTTCAATGGGCTCACTACTAAAGGGGCCTGTCTTTTCTCCTCTATTGACACCAGCAAGTATTGGTCCTCTTCTTTTCATATTTGCTAACACTTGCTTGTTTCAAGGGGAACAATACCTACTGCATCTCTACTGTAATACCTACCTACTGTAGCAATACCTACTGTATCTCTTCCTCAGTCCTCACATTGTGTTTACCAGAGAGCCATGCCCTTGAACAAACCAGTTGAAAGACTGAAGGGAAGAATAACTTGGGTGGGGTTGTTAGTGGACTCCTACTGGGATGTCAGTTATCAGCACA